TTTTATTCAAATTTGTGAAGATAAATACATGTACTTCACGGTTAAAGCGTTTAATTTGTGGACTAGTATTTTGGTTTTCATTTTATCAATATGCGTGTGTTTTGTTTTTATTGTTCAATATGTTTCCCGTAGATATTGTTAAGAAAGAACGTCAGAGAAGAAAAACATCAAATACTGTGTTACTAAGTACATTGTAAATACATGTATGATAATCATATTTAAAGAAAATGCTTAGAACATTACATACTCCTTTGGATTGAGTTGTCTCTCTTTGATTTATAGATGTTTTCAGAATTTTTGTTTTTAATGGTCATTATTTTATTAAATTTTTCAATATTGCAGCCCAGTTTAATCTCTGGCGGGTGTAAAAATGCAGGGTGGCGTCTGTGGTTCTAGTGGGGAAACCAACCGGGTTGAGTGACAGTCAACTGTTGAGTAAACGAAGTAACCACATAACTAAGGCCTGCACACTGACACAAGGTGTAACTGAAATATATAAACACAGTCGACTTCATTTAAACATCTCATCAACATTTGCAATGACGGATTTTCAGCTACTAGTACGTTAAGAAAAATGCGTTCACCTTAAAAAAATTATCAAATGTAAATATTTTTTTTTCGGAGTAAAGATCAAATGAATTTTCATATATAGAGATAATTCACAACTCTAAATGATGCAATCGTATTGATTTTTAATTAAATGCGATTTGTTGTTCGTAGAATGTTCGTAGAATGTTAATTATATTGCGCTACTCTTTTTACCACGGCGTTTTTATAGGGGTTATATTTTAGGCCCTATTTGTTTTGCATATTATACACCTATATAATTTAATTTGAAAGAATATTTTACACCTTCAATTGTCTTATTTGATTTGATTTCTCCCTCTGCCTGACCAATACAGAGGGCTTGGGTGTGACCAGTTGACATAAGTTTTAAGTTTAAGTTTCTTTATTTCCTTAAGCCAACTGGCTCATCAGAATAATAATACAATCATGGAAAAAGAAAACAAAATCATACAGAGAGAGTGAACGTAAAAATATATACATGAAAATAGTCTTATACATCGATATTATTTTTTCTTAACAATGTGGCAGCATTCAAAAATTTGCCCAAATTTAACAAATCTTTAGTATTATTAGAACTTAACAGTTGAATTAATTTAAAGACACTAGGCTTGTTATAATAATACTTTTTCAAAAATTTCTCTCTTAAATCAATATACAAAGGGCATTTCAAAATAAAATGAAATTCGTCTTCTATATCATGGAGATTACATGTACATAATCTATTAATCTTTGGTATGTTATGGTATCGACCTGTTTCAATATTCAACATATGATTTGATAACCTAAATTTTGTTAATAGTTGTCTAAATTTTTTGTGGAATGCTTACTCCTCCTAGGCACCTGCATGACCTCACCTCTGGAGTTGCAGGGTTCCGTGTTTTATGCCCTGTTCACAAACATGAACTGTTTTAAAAATTTTCAGATCGATCAATGTTCGTTATCTTCACCTTTATCACTGCATGTAAATATTTACAAATTGTTGTCGTCAATTTCATTCATTTTTTATACTGTAATGTAGTTTATTCTTTGGCTGGTGCTGCTAGCGTCCGCGGTTCTGGTGGTGATGGTGGTGGGGGGGGGGGGCTAACTGGGTTGAACGTCAATCAACTGGTGATTAATATACTAGTATATGTATAGTTGAGTGTAACATTGAAAATCCCCCCCCCCCCCCCCCCCAAGAAAACCATTGTCAACCGAGGCGCAGCCGAGGTTGACAATGGTTTTCGAGGGGTGACAATTTTCGATGTTACACTCAACTACATGCAATATTTATTATATTATACTGAATGTTTTATACAAATAAATATAACAGTGAACCGTGCGCGCATAAATTCTGCGCATTCACTATTTTTTGGAATATCACCCGTCGTCAAGCATTGTTGACTGTTGCTACGCTGGAGGGCGTGGCTTCATCATTCAGCGGGTAATAGTGATTTTTAACAAATTTTTCTCGACGAATCAGATTCAACTAATTTACAAGAAAGTATAATATTATATAATATTGAACCAAACAGTGCCTTGATATTTCGATGTATCGGGTTGAGTGAAATAAAAATTAGAGAGAACCTTACTGAATAGATTGCGATTCACTTGCAAACAATATGATGCATAAATAATTTAAAATTTAGAAATTGGAATAAATTAGACCCAATAAAGAGCAAACTAAAATTCCTGAGATGTCGAAACCGACCGAAGTGAAAGGAATCCCCTTATCAAACCTGTGGTTAAAATCTTCACAAAACCAGTCACAAATAGGAAGAAAATGTTATAATTAATCCTATTTTAAAAAGAAATTGAAATTTTTTATTTACTGCCGCCCGGTTAATTCAAAATTTAAACATGACATTATCCTAAATTTAGACGTTTATTTGTGAATTTCTTAACAATATCATTTCATGTTTATTTGAATTAATTTTGCCTTGATTTATGTCATTTCGTTTGGAGCAGGATTAAGACATTCCATTGGCTTATTCCCCGAACGGCTACTCGCCAAAATCAACATCTAATTATCACACCCAATTAAGAGGCCCTCTAAGGGGTTCAGGTAGACTTACCTGTATGAATAAATTACCTGAATTTCAATGCATATAAACAGAACAATCTATCAAGTCATTTTTAATTCAATATATCCTGTAAAATGTTTTTTTTATTTTTCATTTTTTAAAAATTATATCATTTTATTTATTAATTTTTTTTATTTTTTTTTTATTTTTTGCTGTTAAATAATTTCTATTTCTATCTAAGCGTATACAGTTAAGGTATTTCAACCCTCACAATTTATGGGTTTTAAAGTAGAAAAACTGCATTTATTTTCATTGAATATTATACCCGGTATATAGTTTAAATTAATCAATAACCGCAAAAGATATGTCAAATGGCCAATGGAATGTCTTAATCCTGCTTCAAAGGAAATGACATAAATCAAGGCAAAATTAATTCAATTAAGTAAACAATAAACATGAAATGATATTGTAAGAGATTCACAAATAAACGTCTAAATTTAAGATAATGTCATGTTTAAATTTTGAATTTACCGGGTGGCAGTAAATAAAACCCATAAATTGTGAGGGTTGAACCTTAACTGTATACGCTTAGATAGAAATAGAAATTATTTAACAACAAAAAATAAAATAAATAAATAAATAAATAAATAAAAATAAATAAATAAATAAATAAAATAAATGATATAATTTAAAAAAAGATGAAAAATTAAAAAAAAAAACATTTTACAGGATATATTGAATTAAAAATGACTTGATAGATTGTTCTGTTTATATGCATTGAAATTCAGGTAATTTATTCATACAGTTAAGTCTACCTGAACCCCTTAGAGGGCCCCTTAATTGGGTGTGATAATTAGATGTTGATTTTGGCGAGTAGCCGTTCGGGAAATAAGCTAAGTGACTTTGTCAAAAGAATTGATACAAGTTCAAGTTCAATTTATTCACCCAAACCAAAATATTGGTACCTGGGGTTCATTAACAACATATATACATTATATACAATCTGGTCAGAGGTACATATACCAAACAAAAAACATGACATATGATTGAAAAAGAAAAATAATAAATAAGAGAGGGGAAAATATATACCCATTAGGTGTAAATGCCTCAGGACCTTTTAATCCCGTATCAATGATTTTGTTTGTATAATTATTCAATAAACTCTTTTATGTCAATCCTATAAAATAACCACTTGTCCATCAATTAAGTCAGTTAGTTTAATTGAGACTTGAAATATTGTTTACGCCCAGAAAAAAAGCTATGTCCATTATGTTTTCTTCGTTTTGGAGGCCCGATGCTCTACCGGCCACATCCAAGTTGGTTAAGACCCAATTTGACTCGTTAAGCTATTGTTGAAATCAGGGACGTATATACTAACCTATAGTATATAGGTCCCTATTGAAATTCATGTTGATTGTTATTTACCATCGTCTATAATAAATTCGGAAACCTGATTTTACAAGTTCTTGCATTATGTATTGGAAGACCATATGGAATACAGCACCTTTCTCGTTTACGATTCATTACGGACAGCGCCACTACTTGTCTGTTTATTACCCGCCAACATTCCTTCCTACCCGTTTGCACTAAACAACGGATATAGTCCAAGAATCAGTCATAACTTATAACCACAATATCTAACTGGTTATGATAAGTACGATAATTGCATCATTTTGCATTGTGGAGTATCCTTATAAAAGTTTATTTTTTCGCACTACTAGCTGATAATCAGTCATTGCAGTATTTTGGTATTAGGTGTAAGAATACATTCGATTTTATTTATATTTCATTTACATTTTGTATTAGTGTGCAGGCCTTCGTTATGTGGTTACTTCGTTTATCACGGTTGACCGTTAATCAGCCAAGTTGGTTCCCCCATTTGAACCACAGGCGCCACCCTGCATTTTTACACCCGCCAGGGATTAAACTATACTAGAGTATTAAATATAAAAAAAAATAATGACGATTAAAACCAAAAATTCTGAAAACACTTACAAGTCAAAGAAAGACAACTCAATCCAAAGTAGTACAATGTACATAGCAACATAACATTTTTAAAATGTTTTTCTTTTCTGCTGTTCTTTCTAAACAATATCTACAGGAATCAATACTAATAAAAAAAAACAAGAAAAAAATATGCTGGATTACAAATTAAACGCTTCAACCGTTAAGTATAAGCAGCTGACATTGTTCCACGTTCAACAACAGGTCATAATTCAATTTCTGATGTGTGAACTGAATTCAGAAGCAAGTTTTATGAAACAATGGCAATGATGAAAAGTAAAGGAGACTTCCAAGAATTTATTATCATTTTTATCAACAACAGGCTATATATATCTTATATTTGAAGTATTTATTTTTACAAATTTGAAAAATAACATAAATTCATTAATTCATTTTGAATTCTTATAAGCTGTAAAACATCATATGCATAAACACTTGAATTTTTTTTTTATCAAGAAAACATTAAAATTAAGCGTGTAAATTTGAATAATACAAGCAATCGATGAGACAAAAGGGTCATTGCTAATAGACCATACGATACAAACTACGGGCAAACAAAAGCACCAGTTAACTATTAGATCAACAATGTTCAGTTTAGATAGAAATATCCTTGTTACATGCACATGATGGCGAAGTATCTAAACTCCATCATTAATCCACCTCTGAAATAGTTAAATCCACGGTTGATGTTGTTTTCTTGCTCTTCAAGAACAATGATCTCAAAGATGTTAGGCGGGGTAGGGGGGGATACTTAGGTTTGCTGTATGCCTCTTTAGGTTTCTCCTGCGATTCCTGTTAAAGAAAAGTATCTTGCAAATTTAGGATTTCCAGATCAAATTAATTAATTTGTCTATCGTTATAATAAATCACCTTTCTCTTTTTCCATCTGAACACAATGCATTCAATTCCAAGCATTAGAAATCCCGTGGCGAACCCCGCTCCTGTTAAGATGAAGACACCACTGAGGTTCTTGAAAGGAAGTCCCGTGGTGGAATCGTCTTCCTTTGGACAAGATACTGTTTTAGACCACCATACTTCCTTCCTCTGTTCAAAGTATGCATCGGCTTGGAGCTCGAGTATTCTAATAGAAAAATAATATCTAAGATTTGAGTATATACTAAACTGTATATAAATAAACTTTTTACTGCTGCAGCTTCTAGCATTGATTTATCTAAAGCTTCTAAAACCAGTCAGCTAATTCGAAAACTTTGCAATGTTTAATAGTTGATCTGTATTTGTAGTCCTACAACATTTTTCTTGTACGTATATTTAAAAAAACAACACATGCACTAACACCTTTTTACATCCCATAAACAAAGTCATATTTAGAAACAAGATGTGTTTGGGAAACATCGATGCCCCCGTATGGCACCACAAGACCAAGTGTAAAGTTTTCAAATATAGGTCAAACTCGAAGGTCAAGGTCAGGAGGTAAAAAATTTTAGTACCCAAAGAAAGGTCTTGTTGCAAGAAATAAATAATTGGAATATGAAAACCCTAGAAACAACCGTTCAAAAATTATAGGGAAGGTTAATTTTGTTTACTAATGTAGATCAAACACAAAGGTCAAGGTAGGGAGGTCAAAAAGTATATGCCCCCCCCCCCCAATCTTCGATTACGCGTGTATAAAAAATAAAAATATATATACTTAGCATTGAATGCTTCCTTCAGAGGCGAATTTTCCTGCAGAACAAATGCATAAGGTTTTGCACTAAAAACCTCTCCAACAGTAATCAAATTGCAGTACTTCGCCATTTCATACTTAATCATCGGTGTTTCGTGGATAAATGCAAATCCTTCCGATAGAACACGGTCCACTCCCTCCTTAGATGTCTTTAAAAATCCCGTTTCATTGATTTGAGAAAACATTCTGGAATAAAGGTCATCCAAAGGATAGTCCCACACAGTGAGGTCATTTCTATCGTTGCTTTTCGCGTAACTCATATTCTTCCACAGCTCGAAGAAGTTCTCTTCAATGCCTTTCATACGGGAAAAGTAGGCTTCACTTACTGACCCAGCTAGAGCAGAATATTTAATAGAGTTCTGAGAAGCTAGCTCGTTTATGGAGTGAATTTCAGTTGTAAGTCTTTTGGATGTCATAAATGCAGCAAGGTTGGCTGTGTAAGTCGCCATCATAATTTGACAAAAGAACCAGAATCCAATTACTAACACTCGCCCTGCAAATGTACCAGGGGTTTTGTCTGGTCCTGCAAGAATTAAATTTATGTATATCAGTTCCAAAAAGATTCTAAACGAATACAAAATATGTATAAAAAAAAATTACATGTAAAGAAATAACATGTAAGTTTATGCTTACCATATATGGTAATAGATGAGATAAGAAACCAAAGCGTGTCGCTGATAGTGAATACCTTGTCCTTATCTTTTTCTTTTTCTTTGGAAAACACTCGATAGACCAAGATGTGAAATACATACAGCATAATACCCGTCAGACCAAGGAAACCGAACCAGGCCAGCCACACAGGTCCGTCAAAGACGTCCACAAATCCAAACATGGAACTAGAAGCAATGGTGCCGCTCATCAGGATCTGGAGACCCGCATAATCATAGTAAGGGTTAGTGAAATCGATCACTTGTTCTCTCTCAGCTGTTACAGACACTGGGGCTGCCGCCAGATCGGCTTCCTGTTATAATGTGATATTTCCTTATTTGATCATTTCAACGGGTTAGTTCCCTGCTCTATACTCTTCAATCCTCTGTTCACTCACATAAAACTTTGCTTTAATGCTTATCAGTTTCCAAAGAAATCTTATTTATTATTAGATTGCAAACAATTTCAGCATAAGCCGTTGCGCAAAGATTGAAAAAAATCGCCTTTTTACTCATCTTCGTTAGCCAAGGATAACGACCCCCTCATCTCTTTTCCAAGGATGAAAAAAGAAGAAGAGCGAGTCGTCACCCTTGGCTAGCGAAGATACTTTTTACTTTACAATTTTATAAAGCAAGTCACAAACGCACAGCATGGCGTGCATGTGTAGATACAGCTTATAGATTTCTTTTTTTAAAAATACTATTAACCCAAAGCATTTCTGGTTGGAATTATTTGAATGGAAATACGCCAGTTCATCGTTCAGCACCACAAGCTGGAAGTGTATGGTACATTACCCCTCTTTGGACCTCTCCCACAAGCCCCGTCCAGGATCCATCAGATAGAGCTAGACCATATTGCTTATCACGTGATTCACGGATGACGTATGTGAATCCGACTTCCTCTGCAATCTTATCCAGAACATCAATGGTGTAGCCTCGAAAGAAAGTCCCACTCTTGTTTACAATTTTCACAACAAATGGCGGCTCCTGAAATATATGCAAGATTTTATGTGGTCAAACTATGAACTAAAATGTATGCATACACGGAGCTTCACAGATTTATGGAAGCAAGGTTCTGATCGATCTTCCTATATGAAATGAGTTAGAGTATCTGTCGATATACGTAAAATAACTATTTATCATTTTACATTTTAAGATATATAAATACAGACAAAGAAAAGAAACAAACGACAAATTTGATGTTGAAAGTAGAATTGAAGCAACAGTATACGTGGATAGTGATGACTGTTAATAGGGATGCATGTGCGAATGCGAAAGGTTGTGTAGTCAAAACCACGTCTGTGGCCCGAGTCCAGGTTCCTATCTGAAATAGTAATAGATATTCGTCGAGAAGAAAGAACATGGAAAAATCTTTAAAAAAATTTTAAAACGCAAATTTCTTCTATATTTCTGATATTTTACTCACATTAATATTTCTGAAACTTAAAAAAAAAAACAACTTGCATGCTGCAATCACATATACAGGGCACAGAAATGAACAAACGTTACAGTGATTAAAACAAACCAACTGCGTTTGTACTTTTGCTTTTGTTCTTATTTTATCGATCCTCATTAAATCGATGTCCAATTTGACTTCTTTAGTTGCGTTGTATACATGCCATGCCAGCTGCCTTAGAGCAGACGTCTAAAACAAAAGATGAAATATTAAATTCAAAATGCAAATATTTAACTGCACTTTCATATAATTGGGGTAATACAGTGTAAGTTTCTTTCCTTTTTTTTTTTTTAACAATAATTAAATATTGGAAAAATCTTACTGCAGTAGGTGCCGAAGAGAGCGAAAAATCTCTGATATTTTTCTCAAGTAAATGAAGACTTCTCAACAATAATGCGTCGTCTACCTAAAATCAATGTTTTTATAGAATTTGTATAGATGTATTAAGTAATGATGCATAGAACATTTTTATTATTTTTTTAATCTATGATGGATCTTTTCAACTGTCGCAGATGTTTTAAATCTATACAAAGGAGATTTTATTGAAAAAAAAAAGTGATTTCGTTTTGTACGATAGTCGTAAGTTTACAGTTACATATTTAAGGTTTGCTGAGACATCGGGATCCTTGACGAAATCATGTCTAACACACACGACTGAGAAATTCAAACCCAAAAGATCTGGACACTCAGTTTCGTCCGATGGAATCATCACCCAGTTATCCGTCCTTGTCACTGTTAAATTTTTCAGGTTTGAAAGCTAAAAACATCAAATAATAAATATAAAACAATAAAATGAAATCGCGTATCTAAGACTTTATGAATCACAACGACATTAAGGTATCTTTTATAAAAGTCACGATGCAACTCACAATTTGTAACATATCCCTAATAACAGTACCAGAAGCAAACATGATAAAAGAATCCGTGTTGCCATCCGTGACAAACTGCTTCACTTGAGTTGGCACACTGCTATTATTAATTATGAACATCATCATCTTCAAGGTGGAATTGAATCTCTTTTGAAAAATGCTAAGGTCGAAATCTGAAACAATATAATTGACAAAATTATCCTTAAAATATTTTTACTGTGCTTTGCAATTAATGGCTAAACAATCCTTAGTTCTTTTATTCCATCAATTCGACACATTGCAGCAGGGAAATAACTCTTTACTGAACTTACCATACATATGATCCGTGATATAAATGACCGATGTGAATTCACTGTCATTATACTTATATATCTGGTGAGCAATATCCATGTATTCCGTAACTGATGGTCTTATCTGTATGCTGGGTCGGCAAATACTTGATCTTCCAGGACGAGTCCGAATATAAGCCACACCTATGCTTTTTGCTAATATGCACAACAAATCAGAGGGATTCCTTTTCATATCAATATAAGAAGAGGAAGTACTGTTTTTCTCAGTGAAACCTGGAAAAAAATGGTCAAAAGATATTTTTTTTAACTTAGAAATGCTTTCTAAAAAAAAAAAAATAAAGGGATAAAGGCAAAATAAGTGGCCGAAAGGAAAGAAGACAGGATTAATTAAGATAATCATCAATAAACTCTCTTCTCAACATATTAGTTCTTTTTCATTTATATCAATCTATGGAATAAAGTTATAATTTGGCTTTGTGATGAGAAATTACTTGTTACAATGTTACTCACTGTAAATACCAGGAGTTTCATTTTTTGTGTTTATGGTAAAAGTGACTGGACTTATATCCAAAGCAGCCCACATCCCTAATCGAGTGGAATTAAAGAATTCATTTGTGATATTACGGATACGTTCAGCATCGTCTTCATCCGCAAGAATATCTGAAAAGTACACAAATCATCATTAAAAAAGAAAACCATTTATTGCTCTGCAATAAGTCTAAATAATGATATATAAACCAAGGCTTTTTAAAATGGCATTATATCATTATCCAAATTTGAACTGGTATAAATTAGATAAAAACTCACCCAAATGAAATGGATAAGGCTGAGCTGACGTCAAAGGAAATAATGTCAAAATGGCGACTAGAAACACAGCCATTATATCACTTTAAGAAAACCAGGAATCTGGAGTATCAAACAAAAATGATGTTGGAGACGCAGATTCATATTTCATTTAGTATTTATTCATTAAAAAATTCAATAATACATTGGATTCGAAGATGGTGGCAAAGCAGTTTATTCTAAATTCATCAATCACATAATTATGGTGGCATATTTATGCCATCCAAATAAATTTTGTCAAAATAAGATATCGCGTCAAGTCAAGATAATTATCACGTCAAGTCAAGATCACTTGCTGGTTTTGTCGAGATACACCAACTTCTATCTCGTCTGGTCAAGATAAGCTATCACATTTTTTTTTCAATAGCTATCTCGACATGACGAGATTATTTATCTTGTATCATGATTAAAATTGTTGCATTGACAAGTACTGCCTCTTCGTAATTCCTGTCACGATAACCCTATATATGTATGTACTGTATGTATTTATATAGATTACGTGTTACGGGTTTTCAGTCGATTTCAAGTGAAACTATGCGGATCTCTTTTAATGATTCATCACTGCTATTGAATCAATTTAATTTTTGTATTTGTCTACTTGAGGAATATAATTTTTAAGAGTTAAAGAATTTTGAATATAAACCGTACCATAAACTTTCCCCGTTAAATATGAAACAAAACAACCCATTTATTTAGTTCATAATTTCCATTTTTGTTCTTAATTAATGGAATGGCATAAGTATAACAATTAATGCAAAGAGTCAGTCATTTATTAAAAACTACCGATGATAATATTATATTGTATAGCCAGTTATTGATCTCTGTTAAACAAAAAAAATCGTGTATTTAATTGAATAGCAAATTTTTTGAATTAATAATTGCAAATATTACATGTAATTAAGTAAAAAGCTCATTGGTGTGGTTCACACGTACTTGTATTTTATTTTGCTGAAATGAAATATGTGGAGATAATGAACATTATTCGAGCTCAAGAGTCCTTTAAACATTACAAAATAGGAGCAGAGCAAACACGGACCTCTAAGACATCAGAGGTGGGACCAGGTGCCATGGAGGAGTGAGAATCCCCTGCCGACACCCGCCGTTTCCGTCGACCAAAAAAAAAAAAAAAAAAAAAAAAAAAAACAAAAAACAAAAAACAAAGACATGGTTTAAACACACATTGGTTCAAACTGGATTCCTTCGAAATATGCGTGCAATACGCATTAGATTAACATTTTGATAGAAGATATCCGTCTATTTCATTGGAAAATGACGGAGGCACACGTAACACGTTATGTAACACGTTATCTATTTATATACTAGTATATGTACATGTACTTATACAGTTATCGTGACAGGAATTACGAAGAGGCAGTACTTGTCAATGCAACAATTTTAGTCATGATACATGATAAATTATCTCGTTATGTCGAGATTGTTATCACAACAATATGTGAACGCTTATCTTAACTAGACGAGATATAAGTTGGTGTATCTCGACAAAACCAGCAAGTTATCTTGATCTGACGAGATAGCTATCTTGACTTGAGGCGATATCTTATGTTAACAAAAAATTATGTGGATGGCATAAACATGCCACCATACATAATAACTTATAACAAGAGATATAGATAAATTTTTGCACATTTGTATTCTTGCGCTGCATGACGTCACGTAAAGAAAAACAGAGAGTGTCGAAGACAACAGAAAGTATTCCTTTGTTAATGACATATTTTGAAAACTTCACCAATACTTTCATTTGATCATGCACTATTTTCATCTATGAATTAATCGTGATAAGCTATCATAATGGTTAGTCACATTACACGACGTACTCCTTTACGAGTGCATTCAATTTTATTCTGTTAGGTAATTGAATAGATGTAAAGGAGTATGTCCATAACGCGTCTGACTCCTGTGGTTGCTTTGTGCGCCGAAGCAGCCAAACAAGAATTTACAAGAGGTATTAGGGGTAGGTAAATATATCATCAATTTTCAAAGTTTCAGAGTTTATATGACACGTTTTGCTAAATATAAAGGAATTTATTAAATCATATAAACATTTACTTTTCGACGATAGCAATCTAGGCATTTACCTTTCTCTGTATTTCGGCCCATTCGGCTGCCCAAACTTTCTTTAGGCCTATATATACTGTATGACCTAATTGATCAATCCATGAGAATGAAATGACCCAATGGAATATGTTTTTCTCTTTCTTTTTTTAATTGAATTGTATTCTTACCAATAAAACGTGTTTTGTGATTGGTGAATGATAATTAATTGTGCAGTTTTATTGATATTGAACAATATTCTTTTGTGGTGTAGAAAGAATCAGGAGGCAATTGTTGGTTAAAACTAAATTTAGTGACTTGCATTTCTAGTCAAGAAATAGTTTATATGTCAACAAGCTTTCCTTGATGCTGGTATGTCTCCCAGCCAAATTCTTTTGTAATTAATTGTTTCATGGATTACATTTTGCGTCATTTAAATAAATGAAAAGTTTTTTTTTTTTTACACTTAACATGTTTTCTGTTATAAATATTGGAAACAAACAGAGCTGCTATGCTATGTTGCCTTGGACTACCAGTAAGGTTTTAACATAAAAATTAGGATGTGGAAAGTCACTTGTTCCCGTCCTGGATTGTATTGATTTTGAAAATGAATATACATGTATATGGTTCTAATATTTCAAATATATAGTCTGCTGTATAACCATTAAATTTATATAAATAAATAAATAAATAAATAGATAAATAAATAAACTGTACTGTACTGTGCCAAATCTAACTCTTTTAATATAATCAAAAGCTTAAGGAGTTGCATCTTGCTGCTCGAACTTCTATAAATTTTGACAAAGGAACCGTGATCAGTTGTATATTTTAACATTCTGAGTATATTTAAACGTTATTAAGTTTTTTTTTTCCATGAATACTTTTTCTACAGGTATGTAAAGACCATGAAGCAGCAGGCAAAAATTTAAGTCCTGCGTTTATTTGCATTTTTTATTGACTCCAACAGAACCAACAACGCAAAATCTTATTTGACTTTTTTCTTGTAAAATTAACATTTACTGTGTTTTACTTTGATTAAAATCTACAGCCTATGTTCACAATATGAGAGAAAAACCTCCCAGCATCTTTAAATGGAGTACTTTCTTTTTTATTGTTAAAAATAAACATATATTCAATATACACGTAAACAATACGCTTCTGAATCTTGCTACAAGCCATTTATGTTAGATATAAAAAAAAAAACTTGTGGGATTATGAAGAATCATTCAAGGCAATTTTTTCAGCAGATTGAATTCTCTTATGTCTCAAAAATGGATAAATGTAATATGCAAATAAAATTTCTGCGACGAAAGCAAGGATTGCAAGTCCAGTAAATGCTCCATAAACAATGAAAATTCCGGCCATGCTGTCTATCTGAAGTTCAGTGGCAGATTTCTTTGAACTTAGTGCGTCACACTCGCTCCCAAGAGGCCACCATTTGGAGCGGAATTTGGCAATTAAACCTGCCTCTATCATCGTGATCATGCTAGAAAATGACAAACATACTTATCACTGTTATCATTAATGAAGAAGTTTCAAAATGTATTTTCCTACGTGTATTAAATCAATTTATACCATTTATTGAATATACTTACTGCAAATTGAATGCCGTTTTGAATTCGGCATCTTCTCTAATGATGAAGGATAGCCCTGCTTTATTGAAAGTCTCTTCAGCAACCAGCATACTTTGACAATCTTTTAGAACTTTATACGTAAGTTGGGATACATCTGTCATGTAGGCGTATTTTCCTGTTTTTACCAAGTCGTATCCTGCCTCTGTAGTTTTAATAACAGGCATGTCCTCCATTTTTTCCCTTATTTGCTTGTATAATCCCCCTTTTGCTCTCTGATAAAAATTTAAAATATAAAATTGATACTTGAACGGAAAAGAACATTTGATAAATAAAGGAAATTATAACCAGAACCTTAAGGACAAATTTACCTTGAAAAGAAAATCGAGATTCGAACCCGTTTTGACCAATGGCTTGTAATCAGATGATGCAGCCAATTGTTCAAGATTCTTAATTGGAGATTTAGCTGGTGGTATTGTTAAATACGCTGCCAAGTTTGCAGTATACAGTTCCAAAATTAGAATTGTACACATCCACCAGATACCGAGTACCACTTTACCGGATGCTGACGTAGGGGTAGAGTCTCCACCCACTGAAATAAAGAATCAAAACTAAGTTCAGCTCGGGGTAAACAATGATTAAATCAAAATTTCCAGATAGACCTATCATAGTGATTTAGAGTAAATCACAAACTACTTTATTCTATTGGTGATTGTTCAGTAAGTTTTTTTCTAATTATAAAATATTGCTCATAATTTATGAATGTACGTATACCTTGGCATTTTAAAGAAATTAGGCGATAATGACCAAAGATTTGAACACTTTTTAAAAACTCTACCAGTGAGTGATAAATCATACTTTGACCAAAGAAGGCCCCAAAGGCAAGCCAAACATTCTGATGAATAGGTTTATCTGCATCTCGTGTATAAGGACTCAGTCTGGACACTATAGACAATATAAACCCTGTAACCACAATAGACATTCCAGTAGCAATCCAAGAGGTAGACTGAAATGGTAGAAACATTCGGAACATCTGGTCAGCTTTTTGATCAACTGTCTTCATGATAATCCCCACACCCTCCTCTTGGAAGGGTGTCAGAAAGTCGATCACTGTTTCTCTAGAGGCGGTCACAGTAAACGGTCCAACCCCTATATCGGCCTCCTAAAAGACAATTACATTGGTTAAATAACCTGAACATTTGTATTTCATGGATAACAAGATATTTTATTTTTTGCAAAATATGTAAGTCTCGTAAATGTTAACAAGTCATCGGAGGTCTAATTTGGTTTCTTAAGAATGAACATGTACAGTTGTCATTGGTCTTATGACTTCCTTAAATAATGATCCAGATTTCCCGATAGAATCTGCATTTTATGTTGACTGATATTCAAACAATCAAAATCTCTACACTTACAATAAGCTAATCATACAGAAGTAAGACTTTTGTCAACTTACCCCCCTCATAACCATGCCAACCATCCCTGTCCCATTTGTACCATTGGCTGTTGGGCCTCCGTATGTACCATCCACGGAGTCGATGGTTACGTATCTATTATAGATATCTTTGATATATTATTTGTCCACGTTATTGTATTACGTATTATTTGAATGTTCAAATTATAAATTTTTGTTAATCCATATCACAAAATAAACTGTACAATCCTTACATGTATGCATATACATTCAAATTTTCTCTATATAAAAAATCCGATCATTGTAAAAAATTACATCGTAAATAAATACCTGAAGTTAAACACTTTGGCAAATTCATTAAAAATGTCATAACAGAATCCATAGTAATAGATGCTGTTGTTTCCTTTTAATCCTCTGATTGTGAAAGGAGTGCTCTGCAAAGGAACACCAATGACGTACAGACTAATCTGAGTAGTTAGGAATTATGAAACATTTAAAACACAGAAAAAAATAAACCCGTTTGGGCTTGAAAAAATAAATTTAAGAAATTCGCCGACAAATATTCCATATATAGAAAGAGGAGAAAATGAGCATTTCAGTTCTGTTGGAATCTTAAAAATTCTGCATTCTCAGTGCTTTTACTTAATTGGGAAAAAGTTGGAATGAACAGCAAATGATGACGTATTAGGGAAATTGGTTTATTTATTACGATGATTGTCATTTGTAGAATTCTGTTAAACATCATTAGAATGAGGAATATACTCATTAAGATAATAGAACATTTTTTGAACACGACGGCACTGTCATTGATGCTCCACCACCAGCAGGTACTAGTATATTTTGAGCAGGAAATATACCAATGGCAATTGGGTAAACAAACCGATGTTCCATATATTCTTTAAAACAATATGGAAATCTTAATTTCTTGCCTATTTCTTAAAAAATATTATTGGAGGGTTATATTTTCCCCCTAAGATAGAACTGCAATATGTTACATGTATAAAACAGGTTTGGAAACATGACAACTTCAACTACAGATATAAAGTTTTATATTAATACAAAAGATATATAAGAAAGTGTTTATTTCCTCTTTAATCATCCAATTTTTAAGCATTATAAATTTGTCAGCTTAATTCTTGATTTTCGGACATCAGTGGTGTTTATGGAATGAAATGAAGCATTTTCATATGAATTCTCCCTCTCGCACTTGATTCATTGTCAGGAATACATGTACAATAAGGGTAGAGATGTTTTCGACTCAAAAGGTTCAATGTAATCAGTAAGTTCAGCAAAATTGGTAGGAAAAGTCGAGTGACATTGATTAAAATGACTTTGGTATTCAACTCATATTAGGACAAAAATACACGGTTTTAGTAACTTATATGTATGTTTATTTTTATTAAATCAAGTTTAATGCTTTGAATCTGTACTGCTCTATGACGTCATATTGCGATCTGGAAACATGAAACTTCGCTGTGCATTTGCTATGCACGTAATTTGGGGATGAAGGAAAAGAAAAAAAAATCTTACTGTCCATGACACAACGGTGAGAGTTCTGTTCCCGAAATCCTTAAACAAGTTTTTGAAAAGTCTGTCGTCTTGTACACGGAATCCATCTAAATAGTTATAGGTGGCTACTTCAGAGAATGTCACATTCTGTCCAGCTTGACAACTATGAATGTAGATAGTGTTATCCCAACTTCCAGCGGAAGTCCATGATGATGTTCCCAAAATTTCTTGTAATGAAGTCTATAAAATATTGTTGAAATGAGTAAACTTTGAACGTGTTGATATTGCCTCGCTCAAATTAAACGTTTGGTTTCTTTTTTACATTAATACATTTTTTCTCCCTTTTAATTATATAAGGTATTCAAAAGAATGTGAATAAAAAACGAAATAAGTAAATCTCGTAAAAGAAAATCAAATCAAATGATATTATTAAGTTAATATCTAAAGTTTCAGTGTATCTATATATTAGGCATGTATCACTTTTAAAGACCATATCCTGAAAAGTAAACTTATTTTAGGAAAGTAAAAGAAGATCAAATTCTTAATTATATAGTATTCGCCGTTAATGAATCTATTTCAATAGAAACAATACATTAGTTTTTTTTTAGTTTGATGAATTGCATTTTTTAAATTGCCTATCGGTTCATGCATTGGATGTTATGTTATTCTATTGTTTTCACGATTTTTAAAATCTATTTTACTAATAGATGTTAATTGGGGAAACATCAGTGTAAACTAGCTATCTTGGACAATAAAAGACAATTATTTTCATTATTTATTTTGATCAATGGGATGCTACATAAAATGTCAACCAAAAATTTTGAACAAAAGCTAAAACTTACCTTCGTAAATGACACTGATCAATAATGTAATTTAAAGGATTGCTATGCATCAAACTTCAAAATTAATAGCCCGGACTTAATTAAATTAAATTGAAGTCAGCTGTAAAACTCTGATGCCTGATATGGTACCAATGATATTCAATAATTAAGGTAACCAAACATAATGTACCTGCAACAAGCTTTGATGCAGCTGGCTACCGCCTGGGGTAGGTCTGTTGGAATCACAGTCGTATGTCCCTATGGAATAGGACGAGTTATAACTCAACATTAACTGTAAACTATGTCTGTAGGCCATTATAACATCAGACAAAATGATATCGGAAAGCTGAAACATAAAAAAAAAATGTTAAAATAAATGATCCAGAAAAATGAAAATACAATGGATCCAAGCATTTTAGTGGCACATTTAATTTTATTTTACGTTTACCAAAAACGTTTTGTCCATAAACATAAGCTTTCAATCAACCAATCAGTCTACCAGCTAATATTTCATTTTAATCATTTAGTATTTGAAGAGTGTTCAAGACATTGTAGATTTGATGTTAGGATGATTTCTTGTACTAAGAGCCTTTACTAAGAGTCTTTGGGGGATATGTTTCCTTGTAAAACAAATTTCTACTTGTGAAAAAGAAATACTTACGCTGCTATCCATTTTATGAGCAATGTTTCTTGATACAGTAAGAACATTTCCATTTTGCAGTGCATCTGGTTCATGAATATCCCATAATAGATTTGGGTCAATGCTAAACACCCAGAAATATTGTCTACTAAACATCTCAAAGGAACTGGCCTGAAACATACATTTAATATATTCATTAACCTTTTTTGACAACATTTGCATACATAAAAGTATGCGAGAAACCTTTTCTATAGAATAACATATGATGAATGTCGATTATCATTTAATGCACTTTGATACGGGATTTACTCGTTCTAAAGACTCTATATTAAAATGGCTCGAGTATCATCTTTTTTTCTCTGAATTGGAATTCAGAAAAGTTATCAATGATTTCAATATACAATATAAGTATAATGTAAGCTCAGCCAAAAGACATGCATAGTTTTAAATGATTGCTTGAAATTTGTGGTTAGGGAATGAAACTTTGTTTTGAATTTTTAGTTGTTTAACTTGCTTGAAACGATTGAGGTATTAAGACATTCAGAGTTTATATTGTGCAGTTATGAGTTTATATATTTTTTTAAAATGCTTTTGACCTTCTAAGACAGAGAGTGCATTTCCACTGGGAGCAAAAAGTGTCTATTCCTAAGGCTACTAAAATCAATGATAAACCATAAAACTAGTGATTTCTTTCCCCAAAGTCTTTGTTACCATCACATTGAATCTCTCATGTGCCTTGCGACATTAGTAATAACTGATGCGGTAGAATTTCCTCTAGGTATATTCCTATATTCGTCTTTAGACATTCCACGTCCCAGCAATCAAATGAATATTTAAAACAACTTAATAACAACGCATAGAAATACCCTGATCCTACTTTTCCGTTTCATCTACAATTAATCAACATAACGTATAACGCAGAACACAGCTTAAAGTGTGAACTGAACCGTAGGCAATTTTACTAAGTGATAGGTGTGTTTAATCAAAATCACTGATAAAATAATTTTTTCTCCATTTATAAACCAATATAAGTAAACATTATTAAATAATTAATTTTATTCAAACTCTGATTATTTCGTGTTAACATTATTAATCTAGACGACTTGATGAAAAATAATCCCTTCTTGGTTATGGTGCGTGAAGTGGCGCCTGATGCAAAATGATGATCATCATTGATAATCAAAAATGATATAAATTTAAAAGAAAAAATTATAAACAAATCCCCAAGGACTTATATTTTTGCTTTCATGCATATACCTTTAGTATGGTATCAATCGTTTTATTCACATTCAGTGCAGTAAAAATCACCGTCTCTTTCCCTCTTTCAGTGGAGGAAAGTGAAGCCTCTATGTCGCTGTCATTGGAGAGTAGAAAAGTTGTTGAGAAAATAGCAGCAGAACTAAATTGATCCACCAAATACTGGATACAATATTCGTCTGTAAAGAAAAAAAGTGCATGTTAAACATTTTGACGTAATGACGCCAGTGTCAATACTGTTAATTAGTTTTCTTTAACAATTGCTTCAGATATTTCAAATTTAGAGGATCATATCTGTAAGCAAAATGTAATTTATCTATCAGTCTTTAGAAATGAGTTTTGAGTCTTTTCTAGCTAAGATCGAAATGAAGTCCAAATATATCTGAAGCACCTTGAATTAGTCACAAAACAGGATAGTTTTATTTACAATGGAATACATACAATTCTCGCTGTATGTTTTGTTTAGAGAGTTACGATCGGTATGGGAAGTAAAACATGAAAGAATTTTTGCTCTATATCTTACAGATAGAAAAACAAATAGTTACTATGCTTTAAACGTTATATTGGTGACCTCATTTAATTAGAATGTTGAACAGAATGTTCGGATCTACTAATGGCTGAAAGAAGAAGGGGTTGTAAATACAAACCGTAAGAATCGTCATAAATAATGTTGACTGCTTTCCAGTTTTTATGTGACGCAATAGAAAGAAACGCTCCGTTTAGCAGACGACAGTCTGTGAGAATGGATAGCGTTGGCTGCGAGGATGATAGGATGCATGGTTTTTCTTCCTTGGTGACTAGGACATGAGGTAGATTTAATGAGCTGGCATGATTGCTGAGAATAAGACCCTTGTTACAGGAAGTGAACGTAATGAATCCCAAAATCTCAGTCCCTGATAAATCACACACTGAATTGCACAAAGTAAAAGAATATGTAGAGAGGGTATTACTATTTATTGAGGATAAACAACTTATGACTATATTAGAATTGCATAATAAAAATTTGTTTTTTCTTGGATATTTACGACTTGTTGGTTTATTTAAATCCAGTTCAGCTGCTCAATATAATGCATCTATATGCAGCAACCATAATGTAATAATTACCTTTACGTGTGATGTTGAAAACGTCACTTCCGTCGAGGTAATATTGGTATGGTGTTACATTGTTTGTAGGCACAGAAACATTGATATTGGGGAGATCTTGCAAAGACCATTCGGATAAATCATATAAAACACCTATTAATAGAATGAAAAATGATAAATACTATAGTCAGTTTTTAGTAAATTCCTTACCACAAAAGAAATTATGTTTAAACATTATTTCAATGACTTAAAATTTATATGTGGGGAATCTCACATGTTTAAATATTATTTCTGTTTGATAATACGTATATTTACTACTTTTTGCAATACATCGATTAATTGATAGTGTAAACATCTTAGTGACATTCTTTACGACGATTTTCTACCTACCCACACCAGTTTCATTTCAGTGTAAGCAAAAAACAGAATGAGTTTTGAAATTGCATTTTATAATACAGGTATTTATTTTTAAAAAAAACCTGTTAAATAAATTAATGTTAAAATATAGATACTTTTTTGATTAACTGACACAGCACTATTGATTATACTAAATTTATTTGCATTTTAATTGTATGCAAGTTTACATTATTACATGTCATGAGAAATGTTGTTTCTCGAAACATTAAATTAACATTTTAATGTAAAATAAAATCAAAATCCAACAAAAGCACAATTTTGGAGTCTAACAAACCTATTTATCTTTAAATTCCATTCTGTATATTTGAAAACAAGAAATAACTAAGGAAAAAGTTCCAACAAATGAGAATTACTTTTTTCATAGTATATGCATGTTTTATTATATAACTTAAATTGTCCACACAAACCCACGATTTCTCTGATGGTTGTTATAATGAATAGAAAGTTGTTTTTACAGAAGATTACAATTGGAATAATTCTAGAAATCATTAGAATTTTTAAAAAAAACTTTTTTTGTGTGTGTTTCTCATTCACATATATAATTATTTTATTATAATTTATTTATTAAAAAGTTAAATACTCACCGACATTGTATTTTCCCAGAGATACTCCAGTTTTCAGGACCAAAATGACAAAAATTTCGAAAAACATCTTAAAAGGGTCATGTCAACAATTTTCATTATAGGCTACCTTCACAAACAGGGGAAAGTCGCTTTCAAATCGATACTTAGATAACGAAGGATAGAGACGCGTGGACTAGTTGATGAAGCGAATCCGATTCAATATTTTACGAAGCGGTCAAACTTTTGACGGAGGTACTTTTAAGAGAATTAAACTATAAGGCAAATCCGATTCAATATTTTACGGAGCGGTCAAAAATACGAATTAGGCACGTTAAAAAGAATTTGAATTCGGAAGTAAATTATGCCTAAACAGATTGATTTTTACCTCCCTCTGATTCAAAGCTTTATTTGATTGAAAGCAGATAATTAGTATATGCCAATTTTTATGAAAGTAAGCATTTTTTTCCTAAAATCAATAGCATAATGTAATGAAATATCATTACACATAAGAAAATTCCAATGGTGCATTGAATAAGTTGCTTTATTCTTAATATCTTACAGAATATGTAAATCGAAAATCAATTCTATTCAAACAATAATTTATATCATAACGGTGTAAAATACTTTATTTTGTGGGAATATGACATCTTTGTATTTTGTTTGGCTTTGAACAGGAAACACATATAATTGAGAATTGCTTTGTCGCTGGATTATTTTTGCAACATACATATCCAATCTATAAACATATTAAAAAAGATACGCAATCATCCCAACTTCATGTGGAGATTGATAGGCACCCGAATTGACTATCCTCAATTTAATATTGAGAATGGAACATGCCAATATTTTTTCTCAGCAAAGAAATAAATAGAAAGTAATTTTTTCCATGATTACATTTGAATCACTAGTATTATCCTTCTCTGCATAATTATATAATTGGGGTATCTCCTGTGCTGGGTTATATCTATTTCTCATCAAATACATTGGTTCAGACTTTATATTTCCATTGATTATTTGTAAATATTTTTCAAAACCATATGCAAAAAATATGTTACACATTTCTTTTCTAACAAATATATGTAAAACACTGTCTGGGTATAAATGAATTGTCTGTTTTAATTGTTCTCAGAGAATTCTGTTGCTCAAAAATTGAACCGCACAATTTTAATATAAGGACTTCGGCATTCTCACATGATTGAACTACCTGACAGAACATGTTAAATAGTGGTGGAATGCCATCAGTATGCAAAAGCTTGAAAATAAATTTGTATAAGGTTCCATAGCAACATTCTTAGTCGTTATATGATTATCTCTTCATTTTGTGTAGCATTGTTCACACGATTGTATTTTAGAGGTGGAATTGGGAAAAATGATGATAATAGTACAAAGAAAATGTAGTAAAATTTGTACAAACTAATGATGGTCAGCTGAACGCAAAATTACAAAAGTAGTCAACACAATTGTTTTAATTGGTTATTTCCAATAAAAAGTGTTTGGTAAACAAATACAGCTGCACATGGTCGCAAAGCTAGGATTCCATTCAATTTAATAATTAGTGAATTGCATTTGAATCGATATGAATGGTTTCTTTTTTCTGTTTGACGCATACAGATAAAGTATTTTGAACTGCAGTGTCTGAAATATGTGGGAATTACTAGAACAGTTTCCCTCAAGACACACTGTATTAAAAAGTTTCACAATTAAGAAAAGCAACAAACTCAAATAATTAAGCTTAATTCATCTGCTGTTCATTGCATATCGATTGCTTCATAATTGGTTAATGATGTATTTGTTCACTTATAATTAAATTCTTTAAATTTATCATATGATGAGTTGTCTTTTGATACAACTCTCAGATTTGTACTTAGTTATACATTAATACATGTTAAATTACTTACCAAATTGTAACAAAATAGCCTACATTGCACACATACGACAATGTTGATAAGTTCAATGTAATAAAGTAAATGAATAAAAACTGTTTATGCAATCTAGCTCAGTACAATAAATCAGAAGTCATTCAGTGATTATTATAGATTATTGCTCCGTGATCAAGGAACCCATTTAAAAATAGTTACAATTACATACAATATTGTTCAATAAAAAAATCAGCGAAAAAAAAAAACGATTTTATACAATTTGAAGAAGAAATCATTGCACATGTTGTACAGGAAAAATTCATATCTTACCTATATATTAAATGTCTCCATAAGTGTGAATAATTAATTAGACACAGAGTATGGCCCGTGACTTCAATCAATACTGTTTATAATTCGAAATGTTTATGGCTCATTTTACCAGGAAATGTAATTCCATCCATCGATCAACAGCCGAGATTAGAGGTATAGATATGATTCCAACTGATCTTTGTATACTAATTTTATATCAAATTAATATCAAATGTTTGCGATACCTTATTGATTTATTTCTTTTGCCTTTTTACTGTATTTTGAAGCATGCATAATTAGCCTATAAAAGGCATAATGTCAGATATATATGCCCTCTTTTATTGGTAAGAGCAAATTGAAGGACACATAAGAATTTTATAACATGATTGTTTATTATATAATTATAACTCCTAGTTGAATTTTTAACTCGTTTCAGATTTTTTTAAGAAAATAAAAAAAATGTCAGAAAGGACACAAAAGTCAAAATTTTTAAAACTCATGACAGGTAAACACTTGTATATATTTTATAATAACCTTTATGATACACATGTGTTACTCAATCAAATACTGAGTAAGATCGCAAAAAATACCATACAATGCTTTTACTTTCATCAATGTTTCGAAAAATTCTCTGATAAATTTCTCGAAGGTGTCACACTTTTGAATGATCATTCTATTGTCTTTCTGAAATATATTCGTCAATAAACATTCTGCATTATGACTACTTTAAGCAGACATGATGCAGATTTTTATGATAAATACAAAGTATGTCAGGAAGAAACTATTTTTACTGGAAGATGTTTTATATTTTTCCTTCGAGTTTGAAAAGTTGTTTGAAGTTTAGTATGCATGTGTATCTGATTTTTTAAAGTTCTCATTGATAGAACGTTATTACAGTTCTCAAAAGAGGAACGTGGACCAAAACAGCATTTAAAGAACCATGATGTTTGTTTTCATACATGAATTATGAAGATAACGACCAGTACAAAAATGTCGCCTGCGAGGCGCAATGGTAAGAGCGTCTACTCTAGAGTCGCGGAGAAAGGAGTTGATCCTAACGTCGCGGGTTCGAATCCCACTGTGGGACGAGGAGACCGTTCCTTCGGATGAGACCGTATAAACCGAGGTCCCGTGTCGCAGTAGGTGCTGGCACGAAAAAGATCCCTCGTTGCTCAATGACCCTGAGTGCCAAGCATAAGTCAAAATTTGCAGCTCTCCATCGGTAAGTGGTGGCGTCTCCATATGAGTGAAAAATTCTCGAGAGGGACGTTAAACAACAAACAAAAATCAGTACTAAATAGGAAGAGAGCAAACACGGACCTCTAAAAACATCATAATGGGATCAAGTGCCATGGAACATTTTCTTGGATGATTTCTGGTTAGGTTTTGGTGATTTTATTGCAAATCGTAGTCCTGGTATTGTATTACATACATGACAGGGATGGGCACGATTACTAAAAAATGTAATCGATTAATAATCGATTACTTAGAGGAATTTTGTGTAATCGATTATTAATCGATTACACTCATTTTTGTCCTGTAATCGATTACTTTGGACGATGAAATCGATTAATAATCGATTACTTCCAAGTTTTTATCCCTTCAAAATATCAAAGCAATATCTAAATGGTAAATATTGATTCCACTGAAGTTTGAATGTGTTCCTGCAATTTCAGTGCAAATTCATTTAAGGTTTTATTCTGGCTAGCATTCTCACTAAATGCCCAAATGAGGGATTCTCTACCATGGAAAATGGAGACATGATTCGTACAATAAAATATGCCAAGGAATTAATTATTTCTTTCAGAATTAATTATTCCTTTCAACCTTGGATCTGAACCTCCATATTTATTGACTTGTTGCAAAAATTATTTAATATTTTATTGTGAATTACTTTATTAGAAGTATTTGGGCTGCCCTTATGTTGACAGTACACATTAAACATTCCTGTACGTGTCTTTTTCAAAAAAAAAAGTAAATTAGAACTCTTAGTAATAAACATGTAAATTAAATGTGTCTTTTAGTATTTAAACTAATAGCACAGTTTCATTCTGTATTGAAATAAGTGTTTTGAGAGCTATTAATTGTTTTAATAATTCTTCAAAGGAATGAAAGTTAAATGCTAGGTAGTTCACAGTTTACACCTCATTATCTGCAAATCAGGGATGTCTCAGTCAATTAATTAACCAATTAAAATAAGCAAACACAGTGACACACTCCCTCTCCTACTGACACTTATAACCTATCACTGTTATAAAAGCAACCTTACAATTTTGAATGAAAACTTGAGAATGCTTTTGCAAATTTTAAAGTTACTAAAACACAAGTTTGAAGTTGTTTAAACATTTTCAGATATGAATAAGTGTTTCCATCTTCTTCTTTTTTTCGAGAACAATGTAGTTTATTTACCAAATTATTTATATTTAATACAGCACTTAAACCTGTTTTAAAATTTGCTATTTATAATTTTCTATTACAAGACAAAGTTTTTTATCATCTGAAATATGAAAAATGACATGCAGCAAGAGGTTAGTGGGTCAAATGTAAAATGCACACAAAAAATCTGTATATTTTATTAATAAATGGTTGAAATACACTTCTGAATTATTTAATACTAGACCAGTAGGTCTATAATGCAAACTTTATTGAGAACATTATTAAACTTATGATAATAAAAGTTAGGTTTATATTTGGTATCTATGTGTGACTGACTGGAAATAATTCTCCAAAATAACAATACATTTATGTATAAAATAATCGAAAGTAATCGAAAAAGTAATTATAATTACATTGAAAATTTTAGCTGTAATCGATTAAATTACGATTACAAGTAATCGAAAATCTCTTCGATCACAGATTACTGTCGAATACTTGTAAAAAAAGTAATCATTACAATCGATTACGATTACTCGATTACGAT